GACTGTAAGTTTCAGAGTGGGTTCTTCATCACAGACTGTAAGTTTCACAGTGGGTTCTTCATTTGTGGTTTCGGTGTTTTGGTTTTAAAGTTTGGTTAAATCAGAAGCAGCTCCGGGAGCTGTCCGCGGTGCTGAAACCAACAACATCAGGACAAATGCAGTTTTTATTCAAATGTTTGTGCAAACGTGTCTTCTCCCATAAAATGTATTTCTTTGTTTTGTTTTGATGTAAAAACGATGCACGGTGTCTGAAAACAGACCCTCCCCCCCCCACACACACACACACACACACCAGCACCCTTTCTGTGTCCCTTTAAAGTTCCTAAACATTTCACTGCTGCATTCATACATTTCAAACAGGACAATTACAGCACGACTGCAATCACCTCCCTTTGGTAAATGTTATTGTGAGCTAGCAGCAAAAATCTTTAATTGTCCTGCGTTTATCTGCTTCTTCAAGCCGTTGTGCAAAGAGCGCAAACGAGGGTCATTTGTGAGCTGAAACAGTTTGCATGCAAAGCGGAGCACAAGATGCTGTAATACTTGACCTTTCAGCATAATTGTTGCAGGCATGAAATGCTGCATTCACGCTCGCTGAGTGGCTCCTTTCTCTCTCCTGCCCCGAGGAACAAAGTGCATTTTTACATCTTCCGTGTTCGTTTCGCTTCGTTTCTTTTAAAGATTTTTTTTTTCTTCTGGCTGCAATTTCACTTCATTTTGCCCGGCCAGAAGAAAACCAGCACAAATGAGCCGATTCTTGAGCCCAACACTTGATGGACGCCATGTTCGGCCTCTAAAGCTACAAGCTAAATGTGCTCACCTCAACATCCAGATAATCAAATCTAAAGCAGTCAAAGAATGAAAACTGAGCCTTGACTGAAAGATTTGAGCTTCAACCATAAGATTTTAGTAATTTGTAAACTAATTAAGCTTTTATGTCTTTAAGAGATTATATGACATATTAAACAATTACATCAAACCAAACCACTTTAGCTGAAACATAAAATAAATCAATTGCATTTTCTGCATGAATAACTTTGCTGAATTTTGGTGAACAAGCAGAAACAGAGTTGTTTAAACTTATAAATATAATCTCAAAGCTAAAAGAAGTAAATCTAATGTTAAAAGCTAAAAAGAGCAAATGTTTGATAATAAACATCAGCTAAAAGCTTAACGTGACAAAAGAGTATCTAAAGGGAGTAAAAGGCTAAATCAAAGTATCAAGAGGTTTGTTTAAAGCTAAAAGTATCAACCATGAAGGTTCATGCTCAGCAGGTAAACAACAACAATGTTCAGTCGGGTCATCTGGACAGTTGCTCTTTTTTTAGGGTTAGCAAAATTAAATCAAAGTAGCAAAATTAATAAAGTATTAAAAATAAAAGTAGAAAAATTGTATAAGTAAACACCAGCAACATTTTGACGGGAGCAAACGTTTTGCTAAAAGCAAAAAGTAGCAAACGTCACAGGATCGTAAGTAAAAACTAAAATTAAAAAATTAAAAAAAGAACATAAAATTATGAAGCAGATTTTAAAAAGAGCAATTTTTTTTGAAGGAGTTGAAAAGATCTAAATGTTTTTCTGTGAAGAAATGTTGGACAAAAACATGAATTAATTTTGTTGAGAAGTAACGGTAAGAAAACTTAAAGTTCAACATCTGCATGAGGTGAATGTTTTCATTAATGGATGGATAAAACTTTACAAATATGCTCGAGTACTTAGATTACAAAATATATGAAAAATAATTATAATGTGGAAACTGTTTACCACAATAAGTCATTTTGTATTTTATGGGTTAAAATATTAAAGACCAAAT